TAATAACTATATATAGAGCGGATCGTAATATTGATATATTTTTTGAACAAATGGAAAATCTATTAAATAAATTAACTTCAAGGGATCCAACCAAGCATATTATAATTGGAGGAGATATTAATATAAATTTCTTTGAGAAAAAGAAATACACCTATGAACTCACTAATTTAATGCATTCACACAATTTTCATCAACTCATTAATGAACCCACTAGAATTACTAAAACTTCAAGTACTTGCATCGACCTCATATTTTCTAATCAAAAATATAGTGTTCAAGCGTACGTTAAAGATCATGGATTATCAGATCATAGAGCAGTAAACATAGTTTTAGAAAAATGTACTCATATAAATAACAAACCATGGAAGGTTATGAGAAGGATTTTTACAAAGGAAAAAATTATAAATTTTTAAATTCATTGGAAAAAGTAAATTGCTCTAATTCATTTAACTTAAAAAAGACTTTAAATGCAAATTATTATTAATTCCTAAATATAATAGTTTCATTACTAGATAAATACATACCAAAACAATTAATAACACTTAAAAACAAACGTCAACAAAAAGAGTGGATAACAACAGGATTAAAAAAGTCATGTAAACATAAACGAATACTAAGAACAATTTTAAATGAAACAAATAGTAGGGTCATTAAAGTATACTATAAATTATGTTCAAAAATTTTAAAAAGTACCATAAAAATATCAAAAAGGAGACAATATTCTACGCAAATGAGTAAATCGGACAATAAAACCAAAACCATGTGGAAAATAATAAATGAAAAAACTGGTAAAACAAAACAATTTAAAAAAGAAAGTATAAATCTAAAAAAAGAGGGAAAAATACATGCACAAAATCAATAAGCATTCTGTTAAATAAATACTTTACAAGCATCTGTGAAAACTCATCAAAAATACCCAAAAATGCATGTGGAAATTCATCAAGATATCCCCCCGTGAACTTCTTATACTTGGACCCAGTGGATAGGAAGAAGATTATAAAAATAATAGCTACAATGAGAAATAAATATAGCTGTAGTGTGGATGGCATACCACCAGCTCTAATTAAACAATGCGCAGAAACATTATCATTTCCTCTAACATTGTTGCTTAACCAGAGCTCTGCCACTGGCTCATTCCCTGACCAATTAAAAATATCACTTGTGAAACCACTTCATAAAAAAGGTGATAAAACTAACATAAGCCAATACAGGCCGATAGCCTTATTACCTACCTTCTCTAAGGTATTCGAAAAAGCCATGTTCAGACGACTGTACGGTTTTTTAGAAAAACAGAGAATATTGGACGATTGCCAAAATGGTTTTAGGAAAAATCGGTCTACCACATCAGCAGTATTTAAATTTATTCAAAAGGCAATTCAAAATATTAACGATAAAATGTATTCGGTAGGTTTACTACTCGATATGACAAAAGCTTATGATAGAGTATCTTACAATATATTGCTTCGCAAACTGTATGATTCGGGAGTGCGAGGTCTGGCATACCATTGGTATCAATCTTATTTTAAAAATAGGAAACAAATAGTAGAAGTTCTTAATTATAATAAAGAAAAAAAACGAAATAACAACAGTACAATCAGAAGAAAATGAATTGGTGGGTTAAATACCACAAGGCAGCGTTTTAGGATGCGTCTTATTCTTGATTTATATAAATGACTTGCCAAATATGTTAATTAGTGAGCCGAAGTGCTTTTTTGGTGCTTTCTTATTTTTTAAGTACTTCCTCGTTATCATGGGTTAACAAGTACCTATAAGATAGTTTATGTGTATTTGGTCTATAATCAAGGAGTCGTTATGAGCGAATAATAAAAATATAACAATGGTCTATTTACATAGGTAGTACATAGACCATTGCCAGTACGATTTTTATTTGATGATTTTACTAAAAACATAAGAAAAGTATCAAACGACAGCACTTTAGTTTTAATAATGCTATTGCAAATTAACGTATTTTAAGAATGCAAAGTATTATCAGGCGCTAATTATTATTATTGTTTTAGTTCAGGATTCGCAAAATTCCAATATTTATAATAAATATAAGGCATAATTTGCAATCCTTAGCAAAATACAATCTTTATCAAATATTTATAAGTTAGATTAAAACTAAAGTACAGTAAAAAACATATATAGTACCGTATATCTGCGCGTGAAATGCTGACAACGGGGATACCACGGGAATCTAACAATTACTCAGGTGTAAAAACCTGCTAAGTGCGAGTTGGAACAGCTCACGAGGCGTACCGTTATCATAAAGAAAATGACATTTCTTGTATCGGAGCCACCCTTAAATATTTATTGTTCTGTTTTTATTATTAGTTGTTATATCGGCAACACAAATTCATCATAGGTGAAGAAATTTCATCTGTCTAACTATCACGGTTTATGAGACCTGTTAATAGGCAGACAGGTAGACAGACAGAGTATGATATACTCTAGGTACTTAAGTTCACATATGTTCTAATACGCTAGGTATAACTTTAGCTATAGGATATGACAATTTAGCAATAGGTCCAATAGGTCCAGGTCGAAAACTTTACCGGAAAAAAGTAAATTTCTTGTTTTAAACTTTTTAGAGTGTGATTTAGCTGTAGTCGGGTTTTAGTTGTTATTAAGTACAATGATTATGGATTTGACAGCAGTGTTATCTTCTTCTGCTTCCTAGACCGATCATCCCATTTACTGGGGGTGGGCCCCCAGAAAGCCATCGTCGTCCGCATTCACCACTGAACACGGTCTTATTTTGCGTCTTTATCAATATTTGCCTCTTTAAGGTCTTTCTCGACAGTCATCAACCAAGTAACGGGTGGGCTTTCATGGGCACGTGCCTGGTCTTACTGCATGGTCTTGTTCGCGTCTCTGAACTTGACAGTATCATTTAAGGCGTTTTTCTTTGACTTAAACGATTAATGGAGCGACTCCGTCACTTCCTCTGATGCACTTTTTATGGATCTTATTTCATTACTAAATTAGTCATTTATCCATTAAAAGATATATCAAAGTAGTCAAATGAAACGATATTCGCTAATATACTGGATACGACGGTAGCACACCAGGACACGGCTTACGAAACGACACGACATTGTCTTAAAATATCTGATACTATGCCTTTTGTTTTTACAATATACGTACTACCGCCTAAGAGGAGTAATTTGCCAACCAATTTCATATAAACATTTCAATACATACACATTGTTGAGGACAGCAAAGTAGACGGCGGGTTCGGGAAGAAATAGGAAATATTTTAATAAATTGTACAATAAAAAACGAAAGCTAAGATTATAACAGAAGATAAAGCCGCAAGTGACAAGAATAGAGTTTGGAGCGAAGCATAGATGAATTAAGAGAGTATAATACAATATTAACAAAAATGAGGTCTGTCTCGGACACACATAGCACAGAAATATGTGTTCTGTGAATACATATCTCTAGCAAACACATCGTAATCATCAAACAGCAAAATAATATTCTATAAATACTTTTATTTGCAGATAATTTCACATGGAACATCGATTTAGTTCACTAATTATCCGGTTACAAGAGAAATTACAAATATTTGCGCACTTCAGTAATTCACATACTATATATACGTTTTGTGTGAAAGCGAGCTTGAAATTGGAGAAATATGTAAAACACTATATTAATGAATTAAGACATCTTTATAAAAATAACTGTTTTTATTACAAAGTCAGCAAAGTAAAATAAAAGAAAATAATTACGGTCTAAACACCCAATTGTACAAAGTATTGACGACTTTAAGCTCTGACTAAAGAATGCTCATTTTGTGCAACCAGTTATTTAATTTCAAAATAATATATATAACTTATTTAAAAATAACAATATATAAAAAATTACTTTTGCATACTTTTATAAAAAATAATATAAAAAATAATACTTTGATGTACTTTTACACTTTCATATTAATTGTGGTTAAAATTATAGAACGCAGATCTCTTTATTTTCTTAAAATGCTTATAGTCTTTCCAAAAATACTAAACGTATTGGAGTGCGGACGATAGCATGCCATGCCATATAAAGGAAAAAACAATAAATCGTAAAGATTATATTAATTTACATTTCCTCATTTTTCCTCGATGGCGCAATTGTTAACGCACTCGGTCTGCGATACGGTTGTTAAGCAAGTTTTACAAAGGCCGGTCATGGGGGACCAAAAATTTATTATCTCGAGCTCCTCCGTGCTTCAGAAGTCGTGCATCTGCAGTCTATTCGATCTGATTCGATTCCATCTATAGGGAAGGCCCGAGTCCCAGCAGTTGGGATATCAATATACTGGTGATGTGATAGCTGCCTTCACTATAAAGTCATCATTATCAGCCTTAGGTAATGTGTCCAGTACTGGGGCACATATCTTCATATATATAGAATGGCATCGAATCTAAAGGGAGAATAGACCGTGACCCACTTCGCGAACCCAATTAGGTTTGTTTAGTGTCAATGATTGCTAATACATTCAGGATTAAGATTCAGATTATACATATAAATAGGTTGGGGAAAAACCTTCTTCGCATTTTAATAAAGTTTATTTACATTTAACTAAAGTAGATACGATTTTGATCAATAACTTTTTGTCATCTTGTAGGTAAGGACATGATTGATCTCATTGCTTTAGAAATTTCGGGGCTTCTTACCAAAAAACCGCGACAAATGGTTTGTTTTGTAAAACAGACACTGCCCAAATCTGTAGGTACAAGGTCAGGACTATACGGCGGATGCATTGATACCTCCCAGCCAAATATTTGCTGAGTGGGAAAAAATGTGTGAGGTCTAACATTATCATGATGAAAAACCACACCCATTCTATTGATTAATTCTGGCCGTTTTCTCTCAACTTCTTGCTTTAATCTCATCAGTTGTTTACAGTAGAGATAAGACTCTATAGTCCTGCCTGGCGGTAATAGCTCGTAATTAATAATACCTTTCCAATCCGACCTTTTCGTACGTTTTTGTCATACGTGATCCACTTTCAGCGCCATTTATCAGCTTCTTCAAAAATATTTCGGTTTCGTTACGCCATAATAAATAATCACAAATGAGTATACGATTCATTAGGTTCCTTTTTTGTAATAAAATTATATATATAAATTACCTAAAATAATTGCTTGTTTGAAGGTTTTATTAGATAAACGTGATTTAATTTGGGTTCCTTTTTTTCATGTTATCTTTTTCTAAAAATTGGCATTTGGGAACGCTCTCCTGATAAAGTTCTGAATCTTAAGCTCAATATTTATCAAAATAAATTTCATGATTCTTTATCATATTTGCCGCTTCGAGATAGGTACTTAACTTAGTGATAAATAAAGACTTGAACAAACTTGTAACTAAATTAAACTGGTAAAAACTAAACTGGTAAAAATTGTTAACAACAGAAAAATAAAAACTTTCACTCCTTTTTCCATTTAATTACTAATCTATAACGCACGCAGCTTTCTTCACCAAAAACGTATTTTAAAAACCAAAATGGCCACCCGGTATCACACGTGATACCAACCTAAAGACAAAAAGAAAGTAGGTGCATTAAAAAGAAGTTCTGTCTCGTCCCGCGCTCAGTGCAACCTTGAACGCGGTACGACGCGCGCGTTTTTTAAAAAAGGAAAAGTTACCGACCGCTGTGACGTAACTTGCGTCACTATGGCGTCGAAAAAGTCGGTCCTGTTGGTTTTATTTCTAGTTTTCTGTAACAATGTTGAGAGTGCTACCATTTTCGAGAGATCCTATGATTATTTTATAAATCTAGGCAAAAGTTGGGCACCCAGCTTAATGTCGATTTTGGACTGTATGGGTGAAAATGATCCCTTGGCGTGCGCCAAAGAAAAAGCGGGAAAGATTCTGGACAGCTGGGATGAAGAAGTACAAAAACAAAGGAGAAGTTGGCAAGGTAATTTAAATAGCTGCAGCAGAATCCCCTTTTGAAAACAAAATTTCCTTGTATTCTTGCCAAAGACATTAAACCATTATTTTAAATCTCTTAATTTCTTTATTGTTAGTCGATAAATATTTTTGAAAAAATATATAACAGTATATTTAAACGACAATTTTTCGAAGGAAGCAAGTGATCGCATATTTAGGTTTACTCTTTTTTTTTGCGTTTTTTGTAAAGTAACATCAAATTTTTGAATCACAAATTTTTTTTTTTTGAGAAAAATTAATATTGTCTACAAAAAAGTGAAATTAATACTCATTTTAAAGGCGGTTTATGTATTCATTAAGCACAAAAAAAATTTGATGTTACTTAACAAAAATCGCAAAAAACAGAGTACACCTGTTGTGATCACTTGCTTTCTTCAAAAAATTGTCGTTTAAATATTTTTGTTATACTTTAAAGAACTTTCATTTAGCTGGTTATTTAAAAAAAAAACTGATTTCGATTTTATTTTTAATACAACCACCTCGAGTTTTCGTATAATATAAACAATTGAAATTCGGTCTAAAATTAACGTAAAGATCGGTAAAGCACAAAAAAATACATAACCGTCGAACATAGAACCTCATTCTTTTCGATTTTGATGTCGTTTAAAATAAAATATTTTTAAAGTCATTCGTCGATTTATAAAAAGTTACACCAATATTACATACCACCAACCATCTTCCTTTGCAGAAGTTGATAAAAAATTTGATGTTTCGGATGTATAAAGCAAGTGGGTCGTTTAATGAGCATAAATTTATCTCAAAAAATTTGTTAACTAGTCTGTGACTAATGAAAATCGCCACTTAATTGAACACCAGAGTTCCATACTGCGTAGTGTTTCAATTCTCTTTACTGAAAATATGAAACTTCTGGTGAGGATGAACTCTAAATGTAGAGTTTTGAGTATCGTAAACATACGTATGTTGGAATTTGAATTGTCAAAGAAAAAAATGGTTTAATTATTTGCGACAGGGCATCCACAACTTAAAATGAAAAAAAAAAGTTGTTCGAATTCAATAGAATTTAAGAAAACTATCGCTAATGTCGCTTTATATTAATGTCAATTTTAATGGACGTTTCTGCAACTGAATGTTTGTCCTTAGAACTACTGAAACGATTTCCATGGTCCCTAAATTGAACGGAACAATCAAATAAAAGAAGAATCATTGTGATTCATGTCGAATTTGCGTAAAATTCGTAGATAAACGTACATGTACTACATCCACTTGCAAAATGACATAAATATTGCTTATTATATTTGATCAATTTAGCATTCACGATGCTGTACTGGAAACTTTTCTTAATGAGAAATGTTTCAAAAATCCACTTTAGCCCAGGCATTCTGAAATGGGATTAAAATCCATTTTTTAATTAGCAATATTTTTCATTAAAACGTGCATGCAATTTTTTTTATTATAAATATAAATATTGATGTCGATTCTATTGTACTATTGTCAAACTAAACTCAACTAAACAAATTCTATTTTGGTATTATTTTAGCGATAATCTGTAGTCATATGTAATCAAAGGAATACAACTATAGTCTTGTTTCTATATAAAGTTATTTCCCGCTGTCTGTACTCTGAGATTTTTTATACTACACAATGGATTTTAATACGATTTCATCAATAAAAGGAAGGTCCATATATTCGATACCTTTGGATTCTTCATAAAATGTTCTTGAGAGTTAATTCTTAGGATTTTGGTAATGAAAAAGGCAAAATTACTAGTTCATGTCTAGTTCATATACCTTCAAAGTTAGCTTGGATACAGTGTATGTTCATTTTTTCTGAAAATATGACCACATTTACTAGCGTAAAAACCAGCCGATATATATTTTTTGAACGATAATTTTGGCAGTTAAATAGTATCACAACTTAAAAAAGAATACATTCGGCTTTTATATTGACAATTATTATTTTGGAAGACATTATAACATATATACATTTATTGACAAATTTCTACAAGTCGTATATGCAGATCGATAGATATAAAAAAACTGTGAAAATAGTATTTATTACTCAATTTCTCCAAAACACCCCATATGAACCCAAAGATATCAATATGTAAGTGCTCGCAACTTTATTTTTGAGGATTATAGTTTACATATTATTGTATCTAATCCTTTCAAATGAAACTGCTCGCATAATTTTGATTGAACGTACTCGTTAAGACTAACTTAATCATAAATTATAATTTATACAAGAAGACTCGGGCGAAGCCGCTGCGAAAAGTTAATACTATAAAACATTTACAGCGATATTAATAAACAAGGTTTAGCGTCAGAGTAAATTGTAATTTTACTATTAGTCTAAATTCATATTACACAAAGAATAATCAAACCTTCTTTCTAGGAGTAAATATTACTCCCGTAGAATCTCTTACTAGGTTAACCTTTGCTAGAGTTTCTTTTTATAAATATGAATTTTGACTAATACTGAGTGCAGTCTCAGCATAAATTTTAAATTATTAACACTGAATCTTGAACACACGCTATACCATGTTTATTCATAACACTGAATAAATTTACTTCTGATTTCTTTGTTATTTTACGTTGTTATGTTAACACTGGCAAGGCGTGTCTCTCATCGAAGAATACAAAAAACCCTAACCATTATTCACCATGCTTTATTTCCTATAGTAAAATTAAATTTGCAATATACTTCAATAGAGCGTGTAATCACTTTCCGTTACAATATTAAATAAATAAATTGTTTGTTTAATCTTTTATCTTAAATCGTTGCCTTTGTGTTTTGCGGTTAACACCGTGACTGCTATCGAGATGTTTGCGGGTAGAAACTATGTAAAGCGATTAAAGATGCTTCCGGATGTAAACAGATAAGTGTGTTAGTTGTTAAAGTTTGTTAAAGAGATCTAGAGTCATTGACACTGACTGACTGCAAAAGATCTGAAAAGCATTACGTGAATGTTTATTTTATTATCTTCTGCCATTTCTAGCCTTTTCTAGCCATTTTTATAAGTATTTAACGGTCCAATCTAACTTATGGATCCTAGGAAGGGAATGTTCTTCTATACTAATTTTATAAAGAGGAAAAATTGTTTGTTTGTTCGCTTGTTATATGCTGCGTAGTTATTGAACCGATTTATACATTTCTTTTACCTACGGGAAGTTACATCATACAGAAAACAGCTACATATTTACCAATTGCATCGATTTTATTGTACCTTACTTTTGACTGAAACGATAAATTCATTATTATATTAATTATCTTTGGAATGTTTGTTTATTTTTAATTTTCCGCAACTTCTAAGTATGGTAATGACATTAAATGTAATAACATATACCTAAATATTCTTTAACAATTACACAATCAAATACAAAAAGAAATGTTATAATACAGTTTACATATCAAGGGATTATTGTATACTAATATAATAAAAAAATACGCTTAATGTATGTCAAGAACCATAAATTATGCTCCAAAATAGTACCTACTATCAAATACAAAAAAATGTTATCGCATAAAAAAGAACTCTTTATTCTTTTATAATAGATGACACTTTATACTACCTGTGTGGTTGTATAATATATCTTAAGACTTATTTGTGAGATTAAGGTTACTCGCGGAGTTTCTTTGTGACTAATTATGAACCGGTTATATATATTCTACTGACATATAAACGCATCCACTTTCTCTTTATTAATATGATAGTTAACGTATGATGTCGGCATATTTTTTTATTATTAGGGTTCCGTATTTGAAAAGGAATAAACATAACCCTCATATGATCACGGGAGAACGGCCCGTCCATATATGGTGCCTAAGGTGCATAGCATAGCAAACACTTTATTTTAATAATATATATTTATTGACGCAATTATCATTACAGCAATTTTTGCATGAGCTGTCTATTAAGCTCTTAAACGATCGATGCGCGATCGAGGAAGATAAGCCACTTTCTCATCGGATGGGTGACCGGTTTTCTCTCAACTTCGTATTTCGGATGAAACATAATTCGCCCATAGTCCATTATTTTTTTTTGTCCAATAAATTATAATAAAGCATGATATGACAATTTATTGTTTATTACAGACTCATATTTTTTTGTGTAAAGAGCATTTGTGGTTCAAATTTGTATACCGAAAATTATAATATAATGTGAATATTCTTGATGTAGCTCGGTGAAGTGAAGGTGGATAAGCGCCGCGGCCCATGATCGTTGTCGTTAAACACAAGGGCTGGTCACAGGATGGATAAACAAAAAATTATTATCTCGAGCTACTCCATGCGTCGGAAGGCACGTTAAACCCCACTAATCCCCATTGAGCCAGCGTGGAGTGCCATGGCGCATCCTTCTTAAATTCTCTGATCAAATTAATTTCTTAGATTGATTTTTGGAATACTCGACATTTCAAGACTTCTTTTGACTGATAAAAAATATAAGCACAACATACTTATCAGGTAAGGGGCCGTTCATTAATCACGTAGTGATTTTCAACATTTTTTTTTACAAAAACATTGCAGCTCCTACACTAGCAGTAGCAATGAAATTCACATAATAAACGATAATATTAAATATTAATAAATTAATAGCCGTGTTGTATCGAATGTGTACTAAGAAAAAGTAAAAGCGACAACACAAAACAATGGCACAACTCATGGGAACTTATTGAAAGCTGCGATATATTTTGTCTGTGGGAAAAATCTCTTCAAAACACTTTCACTAGAACAGCGATGAACAATGCTTAAGTAAATCTTAATCCTATCCAATAATTATAGAACACTTTTTTTAAAGACACAGCTAGAAATTCAGTAACGCTGGACCCATCGAATTTCGAAAATTAAATGGGGAAAGAAAACTGTAAAATGTGACTTAAATCTTTATCTACTTGAGGTGAGGTCATCTCACACAAAAATTCAGGAATGAAGATTACCTGTGCATAAGGGGCAGTGTCAGGATATAACATTATTCGCGATATTTTATTTCATTTACTTCTCTGACATCTACTTTAATAACAAGCGAACGAAAAGAATTATGATTATGGATTGACGGCAGTGTTATCAACTTACTGGTTTATCCACCAATAGACTGACAAAAGACGTCAAAGTCGTAACATGAAAAACGATATATTGTCATAACATGGCTAAGATGTCGTATCCTATAGCTAGGGAATGATGCGGTCGCACCCCAGCCTCTTATTCTCGAACGCAATCGCGGTCGATCGACATTGCAATCAATTGCAATTGTGCCGTTTCGTACTATTAGTAGGGTACACTAGCGTCAGAGTATACTAGTGAACCAATCAAAAGTGCGAAGCGGCACAATTTGCCTTGTCGATCAGTCGCGATTGCGTTCGAGAGTAATCGGGCTGGTCCTACTAAATTGTTGAGAAATACGTTTATTTGTACTGATATTAGAATTGACGTCACAATAACAGACGACATTGCATTTTCGGAGAAGAGAAGACTAGGCCTTCTGGTTCATTAAAGCACACAAATTTAATATTCGACTATATAGGTAAAAACCGGTTTAAAATCAATACGATAATTTATGATTTTAATGCACTCGGATTGACAACATTATAACTCGGATTGACATGTATAACACAAAAAATACAGAGACTTTTATCTAATTATTGTAGAATCTCTCGCTTCAGTATGCAGGCCCCATCAATCAATGAAAATGCGCTTTAAGATGGACGCACAATAAAAAACTACTAGTATAACAATCACTTTTCTTATCCTTGCAGAAGCGGCTGATGCTGAAGTGATATCATCAGGAAGATCTATGGAGGAAATGCCGTCGAAGATTGGGAGACAAGTGGAAGACTCCATCAACTCTTTAGCGGAAATATTCGGAAATGGAGTCGCCAGGTATGTCGGTACCGATATTGAAACTCATCTAAGACATATGTGAATTATTAAAAAGTTATTTGGTATACAAAGTGCAAAGTTGATTTTAAACGCTAAGCTTTTCAGATGTTTTCGGGTTTTTTGTTTTTAACCTAAGGGTCTAACAATAATTAATAAAAGTACTCCAAAAAGGTTACGTATCTGAGAATCTAAGAAATAAAAAATGTTGTATAATAAATTGAACATCATGGAGGTTTAATGATGTTTTGAATTGAAAAACTTAGTGCACATGAAGTTCAAAATTTAAATTTACCTTATCCTCCAGTGGATTAAAACGGCTTTTGCACTGAGATATCGAAGAATAAAAATAAAAATACTCTTAATACTCTTTCTGAGATGGGAGGATGTAAAATTTAATAGATCGTGAATTACACAAAAAACAGATTCAACAGTACAATCGGCAGCCTTATCGCTAAGCAGTAATTTCTTCCAGGCCACTAGGTAGTTTATGGTGACTTAAGAGATATGTTGACATAAAACTCAACATTACATTTTGAACCAAAGGAAGCCATATAAACTTCAATACCCTTTTTCACTCAATTAGAGGTTGACATTTCAATAATCCTGAAACACGTCATTCTTTATTTCTAAGAAGCCAATTATTTTAATATCAATAAATTATCTATTTAGCATAAAAACTGATGGCGTTAACACAAACTTTTACGATTTTCCAAAAAAGTTAGATACTCAAACGCACTATAAAAAGAAGCATACTGTAAAATTTCAAGTTTGTAATCAATAATCAAAGTAGTTTTAGCTGCATGTTAATATATCAGCTAGTCAGTCTTTCTTATTATATCTGTAGCCATTTAGTTTCCTTTAGTCTGGACATACGGAAACTACGCTGAATGAAAGAAAGACGAAAGAATAAGGGAGAAGTGAAAACACTTCATTATCAAATTGATCACGTGTTATCTATACATACAATATTATAAAGCTGAAGAGTTTGTTTGTTTGGTTGAACGCGCTAATCTTAGAACCACTGGTTCGAATAGTAAAACTATGTTTTTGTTGAATAGTCCACTTATTGAAGAAATTTATGCTGTATAACATCACGTTATTACTAATAGGAGTGGAGCAGCAATGAAACCACGCAGGCAAAGTCGCTGGCGCAAAGCTAGTCATAGATATCTGTACAATTTTCTCGTTACATAGAGTAGAACTCTCAAAAAACTATTTGACCTCTACTGTTTCACTTTTCACTTGTAAATAACGAAACTTTTCCTTTTAAATATTTATGTTACTAGACCTTTGCAAGTCATCTTTCTAACTGAACTAGTATGTCTTACAAAATATTTAAATGACAGTATGTTTTGGTCGGTAAAAGTGAATTTTGTAATAAATGACTACTGTCCTCTGTAAAAACAAACCCCACCCGCGTGTCGAGTTATAACAAAGAAGATTAACTTATGTGTTTTTCCTTTTGTTAATAAATGGTACTTTGGAATGTTTTAAATAATGATTTTAAAATTGATTGCAGAAGTTCTATATTTATATATATTTTTTCAATTTATCCTAAATATTTTTTTTTATAAACAACTAGCGGACCCGACAGACTTCGTCCTGTCAAAAAGATTTGTAATGTGGCAGTCTTTTGTTCCTACTTATTTTATAGTCGGGGCAAAAAATAGGAGGCATATCAAATATAAATTATTGTGTCACATGCAATATTATTATTATAATAAATAGTGATCATAGGTAACTAAACACTCTGCACAAAACACGATATACGAATTTGTTTCGTGTATTAGACAGTATCAGTTGACAAAAGCAAACTCAGTAGAATAAGTAACAGAAAATCCAAGAAAATAATACTTCCACACCGGCAAATTGACATCGACATTTTTTTTTTAGTTTTTTTTTAAACTAACTAAACATCGACAGTTTGTTGTTGTTTCAATTTTCAACTTTTTTTAAATTTGATATGACTTGGAGTGAAATCCTTCAGGCCGTACCAATTTTTTATGTGTGTAAAATAATAAATAATAAAACACTTGGTCACGCGGTTTGTGTTTGACTGATGTCATGACGTGAAAACTGATGCATTTTATGTCGCGTGCTGAAAGTAAAACAAAAGAAATAATATCGCAAAGCCGACCAAATTGAAAATCAGTACTAATGATTTACTTTAATTGAGTTTCGGAACGCGGCATTAAATCCTCCAACGATGTATTCTGTGCTCCAACGCACACACGCACACTGTATTGATATGATTGAATTTCAACTTTGTATAGCGGAAATAAAGTGCAAATTGACTCTTTGACGTTAGGAACACACCTACATTGCTTAGATAACAGTGAGTGCTTGTAATTTAATATGAACTTTATACAATAGTAATAGAGCTCAAATTGACTCAACGATTTAGTTAGAAAACGTTTGTATGAGAAAAAGAAAATGGCTGTTTTTACGGTTTTTTCGGCATATATTCAAATTTTTCCGTAAAAACCATCCTTGAACTTCAACGAACATTTAAAAAAAAGAATTGGCCAAATTGGTCCAGGCGTTGTTGAGTTATGCGCTTACCAACACATTTTGCGATTCATTTTTATATTATAAAAAAAAAAAAATATAAAATAAAGAAGAATATGACACTTATTCATTGTTTAATTTTTGACAGTATTTTATAATATCTCTTAATATTCATTCTTAATTTCATAACAAAAATATCTTGTATTTATTTCTTGGAATTCACCTGAGATCAACTTTAATGTATACAAAATAATGTTTCATCATTACACACGGATTTGTCCGACGAAATTGCTCATTCGATTTCACTGACACAGAAATACCGGCATCCTGTTTTCTCGTTCCTTCGTACTTTATGTAGGTGTGTTAAAAGGAGACAAACGTATTGCATAAGGAAAGTGGTATTATCGAATTCCTTGTTTTAAAACGAAAGTGATGGCAAGCTCTATAATGTATATCAATGTATCCAAACTAATTTTATATATGGGAAAGTGTGTTTGTTTGTGCTTCTTTCAAACCGCAATGGAGCGGATACTACAGATTTGTATAATTATTTAAAACCAAATGTATTATCAGAATTTATTTCTGTGTTTGCTAATGACAGCATAACGTGACGATGAAATAAACTATTTATTTCTTTTTGAAATTGATTTTATTTAATATTTTACTATTACCAATGAATGGAAGGATCTAGAAGAGGCCTAGGTTTGAAGACAGATAACTTGTAAGCCGTGATGATGCTGTTCACCGATTTTTCCAGAAATTGGTAACCTATTTTCAAAAGTCTCGGAGAATATTTATAGATTAAATCAATGTGCTGATTTAATAGATGTTGGTAATAATAAGTAGTAGAACTAAATAGTAGAACAAATAAATAATTGTTAATATTTTAGTAATAAAAATCATTTTCATATTGTACTAATCTAGACTTCTGTTCAAAATAAGAAAGGAATAAGTACCTAAATAAATAGATTGCTTACTTACAATACGTACACGCATACATATTAAAGACGTGATTACAATCAAAAGAAAACAGAAAGTACAGAATGTACCTAGGTAGATAATTGATTTTCAGTTTTTTTATGTAAAGCAGCCTTTGTTGATTTTCTTGCTAGTTCTTCACAGTACAAGGTTTCCCGCTATTTTTTTATTTATAATGGGCTCACTCCGTAAATCTATGACGTCAAGATTGCTGCCAACTCAACTTCATAGATTTACAAACCAACGTGTAATTTTTCGAATTTCACAATTATTTGTTTCGCCCGCATTGTTTTTTATTTAACACATAAACTTTAAACTTCAATAACCATATTGAATCTTTTGTGTAGTTTAAAAGATACCAGCATTCATCTGTACGCGACTTTCTTTACATATATTATTGTACATATTACTTAAACCCACTTACTCTTCACTGTAGTCACAAGATAATAATCGATCTTAAACAAAGATTAATAAGCATTGAAAATGAGAAAACTACAACTTAGACATGGTTACACAAAGTGTCAAGTAACCCCAATGCGATTGTCACCTTTTCCTCTTCCTCACTGCATAGGCAATCGACAGAGAGTGAATTTCTTTTGTCGGAATGAATGATACTGTGAAGACCCGTTTTCAAAATTGTGCGAAAATTTATGTCGGACGGACATAGTCGACTGCTTGCGAAGTGATAAAATGGGCAAGGCGACAAGACATGAGGTATCTGTTCATGCGAATTCCAACCATGTGTTTTCAAATTGTTTTGGGGTTATTAGAAACCTTATAAATATAAATTTGATTTTCTTATAATATGAAAATCAAATTTATATTAAGTCTCAATAATTCAAGATTTTCACACCTTCGTAAAAAAACCATATCTAGTTTTGATCCAAAGAAAATATGGTCGCGTTATACCTATATACCCCATGCCTACCATTCAAATATACTTGTTTGTATTTAGGTACACTAAACTGCCACCTTATGTATTTATTATAATATATTCCTCGTTACATAAATAAGTCTATAACTTTCACGACTTTCACGGCAGTGCAGTAAGTAAGTCACACAACAGGGTCATCGGTGCTGCGGGTTCGGTTACCGGTTACGACTAGAATGTCAAGTGAGCTTGCGATGTACCCTGGGAATTGAGATGACCATGGGGAAAGCTGTATATTCTATAAAGGCCATTGGTTATAGGATATTATATATTTCCAGTAGCATAAACATTATAAAAGCGACAGAAGCTGAATGTTGTGGCTATCTCTAAGCTAATTGAATATTAAAAGTTAGAGACAGTGACCTAATAGTATTAGTATTATTAGTACCTAGTATTATTGTATAAATTGTTGAATAGAATTTATGGATTCTTTATGGAAAAAAAAATGTAAGGGTTGTAATCGGTATCGCCCTTGTTTTAATTTTGGAATATTTAAAGTTTGAAACTTTCAGTTTGATATGTGATGTCTGTTATTGTGGAATGGAGCTGCGCACAGTTGTATTTGGAGTGCAAATTTACTCTGTATTTTAAATATAAATCACATATAATTCTATAGCTATGATTTGTAATCTCTAATTGTGCCATTGAATAAATAAACAGAAGTACATATACAATCATTCATAAAATATGTCACCTTTTTAGCTCAATCGTCGATCTGCTTATGTTAACTTGTTTCTGCACTAGATGACAGCAGTTATCTAAAAAGATCATCAAAGAATCATGTGCACTTTCCATACATTGATTGACCTATCACATGTTTTTTTAAAGGTCGTGTCCACCTGCCATTAGTGATAATTTAAATTAGTGTTTGCTTAAAATAGAATAACATCTAAGCATCTTATCATCCGGAGCACAGAGAGATTCGTAATTTATAAACAAGGTTTTGAGGTTGTATCAGATGTCAAAAGTCGAGATAAATATGAAATAACTTTAAAAATTAATGAATTGAAATAAAAGCTTTTTAGAGTTTGACTCGTAAATGTGAAATTAAATTAATATGTAATTGTTAGTTTGTACTTTTTAACCTTATAACGAAAGAATATTTTTCCACTAGCGAACGGCTTTATTTCAAAAGTTAATTACACGATAAAAAAAGGCATGATGATTTTGTCCTGTGCTCTTAATTCATATTTCCAGAAGAATACAGAATGCGCTGACGTTACTATTTTAAAACACTGACTTTTCTAGTCCTGCGTAAGTTGTCAGCTTAGAAGACTTTAGTTGATCGTAATATGTACTCGTTAGCATCAATTTCACTACATAGTATAAAACAAAGTCGCCTTCTCTGTCCCTATATCCCTATCTATGCTTAAACTTTTAAAACTGCGCAACGGATTTTGATGCGGTTTTAACCATAGATAGGGTGATTCAAAAGAAAGGTTTTTATGAATAATACAAGACCACACTGGTGAAACTGCTGGCGGAAAGCTAGTAGAAACAATAAATGTCAGAGGCGATTCAATTTTAAATGTTATATTCTTAAAGAATTATTGGAGAAAAATGTAATTACTCTTATTTTTACGGCTACCTTTTAAATTAAACCAGATTAGATACAAACGGAAAATACAAGGTCACCATTTCCACTAGAAACTAGTGAAAGCATACAAACAACATTTCATAGTTTGTTAACACCCACGCGCTAAATATACCTTTTCACTATCGAACGACGTAACATAAGGTATATATTTAGTTTATTTGATCTAATTATCCTTTACTATCGATCCGCTCCGACTTTATACGAAATTTTTTTTATATATGGATCATCAGGTATAATGTAGGATTCTAAAGGTAAAATAATTTTTAAAATCGATCGAATAGTTTCTATCTTCGTGCAAATAAACAAATAATATTTTTTTTCCTCTTTATAGGTAATGCTGGTATATGGTAGCTGGAAAAGATAATTATTGTAAGATTTCAAAGTTAGCGTATTCTTAGATTGTAACAATGTACGTACGAGTTTTTTTTTTCCGAAATGAAAACGATAGGACAGAGTCCGTATTGTTGTACACTTTGTATGAAAGGCGCACGTGTATATGGTAGCTGGAAAAGATAATTATTGTAAGATTTCAAAGTTAGCGTATTCTTAGATTGTAACAATGTACGTACGAGTTTTTTTTTTTCCGAAATGAAAACGATAGGACAGAGTCCGTATTGTTGTACACTTTGTATGAAAGGCGCACGTTTAGAGATCTCGGAATCGGTATTCTTGATCAGGGAACAAAATACGAAAAACGAATGTATTTTTTTTCCGTGGTTAAAACCTCATTTGATAATCGTCATTATTCAATTTACTTCTTTCCAGGGCATTATCCAAGAAACACGATAGCGGCGGAATCGACACAATAACAATATCCACCGGTGGCGGTGAGAAGAAGAAAATGAAGAAAAAGAAGAAGCCTAAACCCCCGAAAATACACTTAGTCCACCCGATGATGATGCACGCAGTGAAGAAACAAGAGAAAGGTGTAGAGAGCGCTAGGGGATTCTCGGGAGGACGAGTACAGTCCTGGGTGATTGGGGAGAGGAGTGTCAATTCTTCTAGAAGAGGAAGAGGGTTGATGACTGATCTGTGGGACGTTGGCGAGGAGGCATTGGATGCGGTCGCTGAGCATGCCTTGAAAAGTGATGAGAAAGAAGACGGGGTGGTGGATAAAAGTTCTTTGGAAGGTCGGTGGTGGTTTTGCATGTTAAATAATGAATTTCATGTTTTTCTTTATCGAGGAGCTCGATGGAGTATGTATGTTAAGAGACTTTCGCAATGACCGGTGATAGGATGGGTGACCAAATTTTATTGACTCAAGCTCCTTCGTGCTTCGTAAAGCACGCTAAGCCGTTGGTCCCGGCTACATCTCCAGTCGTTAACGCCTACCAATCCGCAATGGGCCCGCGTGGTGGGTCATGGCCATGTTACGATTCCGTCCATTGGGAAGTTCTGAGCCCCAGCAATGGGGACATTAATAAGCAAATGATTAATTTTTTTATTAAACATGACCTTGATAAGTCACCTTTTAATTGTCCTTCTCACTTTTGACCATAGATAGATAGCGGTCTTTTTTGAGTTTCTTGCCGTTTCTTCTCAGTACAAGGTCTTTCGCCGTAGATTTGCGGATCGACGGCATAGCTTTCGACTTTCACAACAGTTTAGACTGAATAAACAATATCGAATTTGAAAGTGATAAGTTTATATACATATTTATTTCTGCTTTATTGAGAAATGTACAAAGGGCAGACTAAATGCCATAAGGCACTCTCTACTAGTCAACCGGATTTGGACGGAAAACTTAAAAGAGCGGTGACACAAACGGTATTAATCTATATCACCATGACTCGCTGTTTGTGTTTGAATACTATTGTAACCTACTAATATTATAAAGCTGAAGAGTTTGTTTGTTTGTTAGTTTGAACGCGCTAATCTCAGGAACTACTGGTTCGAATTCAAAATTATTTTTGTGTTGAATATAATGGTCTATCGAGGAAGGCTTGAGGCTATATAACATCCCGCTGCATTTATTAGGAGCGAAGAAATAATGGAAAACGCGGACGAAGTCGCTGGCGGCTACTAGTAAAAGATATTTAATGTAAAAAGTTGACGCATTTAGAATTTACAAGTAGAATAAGCTCTTAAACATTACTTTTAAGCTATTTAAAGAAGAATTTGTATTTTTTACAGAATTTCTCACATAGACTCTGTGGTAAAATTTAATATAGTTTTTTAAATGCATCGTACACGAACGCATTTTATCGCATGTCAAATACTGATTAGAATTGCATGCAGATGTAGAGAATAATATTATCGTGTAATTGAGTTTTAAATACATACATTATATTAGTATGTATGATTGGTTAAGTTTCATCTTTATAAATCAAAGATGAAAGGAAACTTTAAAGGAACAATTAAAGGAACAATTTTATTGTAATTTTATATGATTTTAGTTACAATAAAAAAATAACTTCTATTCAAATTCTTAAAGATTTTTTTAAAGACTCTGTACCGATTACCTTCATCGTCATACAAAATTAAACTCGAATGAATAGCGAAAAAGAAACTATATTTTAATCTTATTTTATAAACCAATTATAAACAGTAAAATAAATTTATTAATGCATGCTCATGCACGCATTAAAGCATGCAGTTTGCTCATGTTTTAGTTTGTAAACTTATGTTCTATGTTTTTATTCGGATAGTCAAATCTATTTGCATGTTGATGGTTGATTTATGGAAATAGAATAAGGTTTTTTGCAAACCACATATGTACGTAAAAAAAACCATTATTAAAAGAAATGTTCTATTGTTTTTTTAAATTGAATTACCTCCGAAACTACTGGAACGATTTCATAAATTGTTTTACCTACGGGAAGCTCAATCATGCGCGGGTGACATAGGTTATAATTTAGGTGGGCGAAGTCGCAGGAAAAGTTTCATATAAAATTAGTTAGTACCCTAAATCTTATATATATTTTCAGTATATTTTTGATTCGTTAAATAATGAAAAGCTTCCGTTTTAGAACAAAGAGGAAAGAAGAAGAAGAAAAAGAAGGCGATACTGAAGCTTCTAATCCTCGGCGCAGTGTTGAAGGCGAAGATCGGCACCTTACTACAAATATTATCTTTCAAATTGCAGGTAAACATTCGATATGAAGATAATGTATTTCATTCATTAATAGTCATAAAGTCTTTGCATTGCCAAGTTTTCTAGAATATAGGGCCTTGGGGTAATACTGAAAGCGAAGCTATTCCGAAAATAACGAATTACAACCAAAAAAGCCATCGATTTTTTATTCAAGTTGATAAATAAAAAAATCTTTTTCTAGATAAAAAATATTTAAATTAGAACAAACATGTCTTATGTCATATTTGGAATTTCCCTGCATTCGTTATTATACACCAAGCACCTTAGTCGTCACCTAACTCTAAACTGCACTCTTGGGATCTAATATACTTTTGGGGTCTACTGGATTAAATAGTTACTTTCGTACTGGTCATAATATACGAATTAGGGTTAGACGAAAATAAGAATTACTATTTCCAATATAATAAAAAAATGAGATAGACCAGTGGTCAGAAATTCTTTTATATGTCGCTCTGCACTGCAACGAAGTTATTACATATTTCTTCTCTTACTATTCATTTCATTTTATTTCAGGTTAAATTCTTCCTGATAGCCCTTATCGGCTTGGGTATCAACTTAGCGAGACTTTGGATCGACTTGAAAAACAAACACAATCACCAACCGCAGAAGGTGAGTACACTCATTAATTTCTAGTTTAGAAAATATTATCGAGGATGAGTCTGTACATTTTTTCCACCTACTGTATTTTACTTTCTTTACTTTCAGAATTATATGATTATAGAAAAGCTTAGATTTAAAAAAAATCAATATTACACTATGTATTCATTAATCTGTGGATTATAAATAATTTAGATTTCTTCTTTAAATTCATAAAAGGCAACACTTTTGACGTTCGCAAAATAGCGCTAAAAGTGCGCAGTGTTACGAGTATTTTAAAATTATTATGATATTCTAATTGATGAAAAACAACGTTCATAACTCATCCCGAAAAAAACCATCTTACTGACACCGACAAATTAAAAAGGTCATCAGTTATAAACGCCAATTCGGCAACGACTTGTATTTTGTCATTCTGGTATCTACTTAAAGTTCGATGAAGACGCGCGTGCTTGTCTCTCGTACTGTGCTGTAAGCGTACTGCTATAGCTCGCCTGGAGCGCCTATGTGTGGGGGTAGTGTATACTGATCTATGCAAGCGGTACCCTCTTACAAGTAATGGGACACTTAGTATAGAACCTTGTCATGTAATTTTAAGTGTAGTTTTAGTGTAATCATTGTTGTGAGAGCCTTATAAATAAGTAAATAAATAAAATATTATTAGTGCAATGAGTTCCTCACACATCAATGGTGATAGAAATATAATTATGTTGGACTTCGGGTAGATAGTACAATGGCAAAATTCAATTAGTGAGATTCTATTCAGATACGATTATTACGTAAACTCTACAGAATTAGCCTGCTTATAGTATAAAAAGGTAAAGTTTCTAACATTATTAGTTTGTAGGGTAATCTTCGGCGATACTGATCCGATCAGAAATCATTCAATCACCTTCGGGAAACTACATCATGAACGAATGACATATGCGGGTGAAGCCGCGGGTGAAGCCGCGGGAAAACAGTTAGCAATTTATAAACCTTATAATCTTATCTGAATTAAACACATCATATATCGAATAGAAACCAAATAGTAACAATAAAATTTACCGGTTGCTGTTACTCATTCATCCCGTCACTTTCACTCTCGTTCTAAATTGTGAGTGAGAGGCAAGGTTTACTGACTTATCTAATTAGAAGCAGTCTTTAAACATTTACGATCAGGGGTACCGTGGGAAATACAAAAACCCTGTAAAATCCGTTGTTAAGATTTTTTCACTACTAATACTTTGAAGATTGAACGTCACAATGTACAGTCTTTATACTATACATCTTACGCTTCATCCACTTTAATTACTCTTCATACATACTCGCCGGTTTATATGGCTTCTGATATCACCATTAATTGTTATGTCACTAGTTGCATCAAATATTCGCAGCTCTACTTTGGGAGAGATTCACGGAATGACACAATTATTTATTTTATCAGATTTTATAAATGTAATTAAACTATGTTTGAAAACTGGAAGATCATCTGCGTGAAGTTTCATTAATCACTTAGCTCTTGTTTAAGTGACTTACCAACAAATTATCAATTGTATCACCTAATAAAAAAACACATAAAGAACATTAAGTTATAAGGACGATTAACATTTTATTAATTAAAATTAAGTAGTAAGTGAACTTGAAACGGTATTAGTTTTACCATTATTCAAAATTTTGAAGACCGTACACGGCAAAATAATATTTGCTTACGCCTTAATTAGAACTCCTTGAAGTCCCAAGTAACCAATAGGGTGCCAATGGCCAAAGCTGTGTCTTTATCCCTTATTTTTAAAATTCCCATTTGAGACCATTGCTTTCTTCAGAATTTTTATATGATATGATATCATTTTATGACTATAGTTTATTTAAAATCGGTAAATTTCTTATAATTTATCAAATTTGCATTCGCAATGCTATACTAAAAAATATTCTGAATGATAATGCTTAAATAATCAGTCCCTGGCACTCTAAGATGGGACTCGAACTTATGATGGCCTTTCGCAATCCGGGCGACAGCATTTATTTTCATCTATCAGAGTTTTATAATATATAGTCTTATTTTTGTACCAGACTGTTCAGGTGGTTGAACCTGAAATGTCTAAGCTCTTTATATAATAATACCCAGTCACAGTTGATTGATACTAACGTACCGATAAATAAGTACTAGTCTTTTTACCAAAGAATATTTTGCACTGTAAGAACTTTTTCAGGCTTATTTGCTAGCAAAAGTCTTTTATGTAACAATTTAAAAAAATAAAAAGTAAAACCAGAAACTAATACTCTACTACTGTTGACCCGACGCAGAGTGGCTTGTACGTCAGTTTCGAATTGTGTCATATCCACAGAACATAGAGAGAGCCGGGATTGTCATATCTAGTAAAGTTCGGGATCGAGTCCCCATTTGGCCAAAGAGTATCTTGTTTGTCACCGCCTTACATGCTTTTTTAGATTTTGTTAGCTAAGACGATTTTACGGCGAAAGAAACATGTTGTTTTACAACTTTGCTCTCAATTTTCTCTGCTTATAAAGCGTCTCGGACTTCAACGAATATATTAAAAATTGCCGATTCGGTATAGCTGTTCTTGAGTTTTTTTTAATCACTATTACGATTATTGTAAAAGTATTCTACAAAGCCTAAGCCTAAGGCTATAAAATGACTCGTAAATTTATCAATTAACTCTTTAGACAATTGAAAATTTTAGGAGTAATTTGATAATATTTTTTCTAACAAAAATTCAAATAAAATTATATTTTGACTATGATAAAATTAAGGTGTGGTTTTTTGTAATTATTTTCAATTACAGATTATTTCGAACGTGATTTCTTTGTAGAAAATCAATTGATAATATAGATTATCGTCCGAGACGTCATTAGCTTTACACTACAACTATTTCTTATTAACATATTAAAAAACCGAACAACTGCGAATCGGACTCGCACACCGTGGTTTCCGTAAAAAACTGTACGTATTTATTAAAAAACATTTGATTATATGATGTAGCTAAAAATTTACGGTTTTTGTATTATTTCTTTATCTGTGCTATAAAACGTTGCTGATGTTCTGAAAAAAGGTATAAATATTCCGTGTTTTCCTTCCGAATTACGGAACGATAAACAAGGCAAATGCTAAACATACTGCGAAATAATGATATAACAATTACATGTATAATGAACATGTTTACGTCATCTCTCTAAAGTGGAGCCTACAGCTATCTAAAAACCTATCCAATCCAAATGATACTAGTACTAACGAATGACACCTGAAAGCCTATTCTATTTCTACGAAAACGTCTATTTTCGGTAACGCTCATAGACTCCTAAGAAACGCATATTATGATGCAATGGATGTAGGACCTAACACAGAGATATTATTTTAACCAAATTATAAGAACGATTTGAAATTTTCCGATTTTCGTGCGTGGGCAGAATAGACCTAATACGTAAGCGTCGAAAGACTCAAGAGTCATCAACAATCAGCATGTTCTCCTCATTCATTGCAGAAAAGGCCCCAGCAAAGAGAACCTTAATAGAATAATGATGATCCATTATAAAGCATATAAATGTTGACGTAAATTGTTACACGAATAAATGGAACCAAGACTACGTATCACTGACTTGCGTCTGGCGCTTCTCATTTATAATTCGTAGAGTGCGATAAAAAAAAAGAAAGTAGTTCCGTTGTTAATGTGTGATCTAGCACACGTCGATGTGATGATTCTTGAAGTAGTTAATGTTATTAAGAATGAACGATAGGAACTACATTTTGCGGATAAAAGATAGAGTAGGGCCCTGTTTATCAAATTCATCTGTTTTTAGATGTGACACGTGAAACTTTAAAAAGGGCTAAAATTGATTAATTGATAATATTTTTTCAATAACTGTTGTGAGACAGTCACAGTTTAAGTTTCCAAAACAATCAACTATTTTTTTTTACGTTTCATATAAAAGCTGTTCCAAAAGTCACTGTGTAACATTCTTTGTGCTGAGAGAATTTTTTAAATGGGTCCATTAGTTTCAAAGCCTAATCGACGCAAACGAACAAACTATCACATCTTTCCTCTTTATAATATCAGTATAGAAATCTAATAATCTATTAGTATAGAGATCACTTTGTGTATAGTGATTTATGGGTCCTAGTGCGCATTATCGATATCGCATACCGAACGCACTAACCATTGCGCCATTGAGCTCCTCAACGCCACCATCAGCAAATTAAAAATGCTAACAATAAAAAAAGAATAGCAAATTAAACGTGAATCTGTGAAGTCACCAAGATGAATGCAGGATCAATGACACTGCGTCTTGCACGCAAACATTTCAAGGCTACAAGGTCATCTGATGCTTTCTCTGTTGAATACAGCAATAAACCGCTTTCACGTGACTTAAGAAAACTAATACATGATGGTGTTCGATCATTTTTAATTCAATTTAATTTTTTTATTTTTTATTTGTGAAAACCCAAAGTAATTTGTAAGATGAATTCTACACTAACGACTTATACCTTTATAGCAAGACAATATAATAGATATGCTTCCGTCTGATTTACAATAATTATCCGTTTGTGGTTCTAAATAAAGAGAGAAAAATCTAAAGTATTTTATAAAAAGATAAGGTATGTGTGCACTACAGTAATATAATTTAATCCTCCTTAGTGGATCAAACAATTTCTCATTATGAATACTGATA